TGCCTTCATGGGAGTTAAAAAAAAAAAAAAAAGGCTCTGCCGTTTTCTGTCCAGCAAACGAGGAGGGAGGACCATCTCAGCTGAGAAGACAGCAGATTCCGCCAGAAGTTTCCACAAGTCTTCTTCTATCTCGTGACTAGCATTTGATCACATGTCTAGCCAGAATCAGTCACAGTGGGCACAGGAATAGTGTGGCCTGAGACTTGTGTGGCTGAGAATCATGGATGGTTTCTCAAACGACCTGGATGTTGTCTGCCTGGGGCTGGGCCATAGGAGGTAGGCGGGGTCACGGTTCCATTTGATAATGAGGAACCAGGTCCAGAGCAAATCGACAACTTGCTCAAGGCTATGTGAGAGCAGGGGACACTTGTAGAAGCAGCTGGATCCTAGAGTGCCCACTTCGGCAAACATAACCTGACAGCACAGAGGGCTTTGTCCCCCCACCCCACCCCCAAATGTAGTATTTCTGACCCAGAATTAAGACTTGGAAAATTCTAACGCCCCGGGAAGGCAAGAGAAAAAGAAACAGAGCAAAAAGAGAACAAATAATAAAATGGCAGACACAGCCCTAACATGTCAATAATCACCATAAGTGTAAATGGTCTACACATACAGAGATTGGCCAGAGCAGGTTGAAAAACACAACCCAACTACACAAGGTCTACAAGCAATTCTCCTCTAACACAATGACATAAGTGGGTTGAAAGAAAACCTATGGAAAACAGTAGCTCACACAAACAGTAGTGGAACAGAAGAAAAACGCCGCCACCAAGAACAGTTACTTGAGAGATAATCTAATGGTGGGAGGGCAGATCCAATAGGCAGGCATAACAATCCTAAACGCACATGCACCAATCAGCAGTCTCGAAAAACATGAAGCAAAAACTGAGTTGGAAAGGGAAACTGCAGAAAGGACAAATCTATTCTTATGGCTGGCACTTCACTCTCAGCAGTTCTAAGAACAAAGACAGAAAGTCACCACCAAGGATGCAGAAGTGACCACCACGTCCAACCAAGAGGACGTCACCGACACTTACAGAACATTTGCCCAGGTAACCACCTGCGGGTCAGAAAAGAAACCTTCAGGTATCTGAGAGAGCTGAAATCCTGCAGTGGTCACTGATCACAGAGAAAGCATTGGATACCACCCACAGAGTGACAACTGGGAAATCTCCAAACACTGGGAAATCAGACAACATACTTCTAAATGATCCGTGGGCCAAAGAAGCAATGTCAAAGGAAATTCTGAAAAGTACATGTAACGGAGAGGTCCCGAGAGGGAAACTGAACACTAAATGCTTACATGAGAAAATATTTTAAATCAGTAAGTTGTTACCAAGAAACTAGGAAAATAAGAGCAAAATAAACCTCAAGAAAGCTTGGGGGAAAATGAAACAAATCAGCAACTTTCGGTTGTGCTACTTCCGACTCAGGTTTCAGGTCTGAAGCTTCTTACTGGGGCCGGAGGGGCTGCTTGCTTTCTCTCTGGTGACTCCACTGCCTATTAAAAAAACACAATCCACCTCTTGCTGCTTAATTCTCAATAACTGCTACTATGCCGGGTAAACACTCCCACGGGGCTCAGGTGCTGAGCAGCACCCTAAGTCCCACATTCATTGCGGGAGCAGGCTAGTAGAAAGACAGGTACTTTGCTTTCGAGCTAAATGTGGTGCTGGCGGCATTAGTCACAGAACAGGCTCTGAGCCTGCAGAGGGGCGCTCTGCTGACCAGAGGTCTTCATCTGCGGCTAAGCCAGCTGTTGGCCTCTGAGCGCTTTTCTAATGCCACTGTACTGTAGTCACTTCCTTTGACCCGGAGTGGGACGAAGAGGAAGAGCGCTTACAAGGGGACTTAAAATACATAGAAAAATGAAATTGAAAGAACGAATTTTGGCACAAAATTTTTTTATGTGTGGGAAATATACGATGGAAAAAATAAACTGCACACAGACATCAACTTTTGCTTCAAAATAAACTCATATTTTTAATTCCATTTTCTTGCAAACTTCTTGAAGTACTCCTTGTAGCTTCAGGATGTGTGTGGAACTAGTTCTCTGGTTCTCTTTTTTTTTTTTTTTTAATTGACAGGTAGAGTGGACAGTGAGAGAGAGACAGAGAGAAAGGTCTTCCTTTGCCGTTGGTTCACCCTCCAATGGCCGCCGCACCGCGCTAATTCAAAGGCAGGAGCCAGGAGCCAGGTGCTTCTCCTGGTCTCCCATGGGGTGCAGGGCCCAAGCACTTGGGCCATCCTCCACTTCCTGGGCCAAAGCAGAGAGCTGGCCCGGAAGAGGGGCAACCGGGACAGAATCCGGCGCCCCGACCAGGACTAGAACCTGGTGTGCCGGCGCCGCTAGGCAGAGGATTAGCCTGTTGAGCTGTGGCGCCGGCTCTCTTGATATTTCATAACTCAGTTCCTAGAAAGGCCACAGATTAGCTTCCTCTGTCAGTTTCAAGACGCACTATGAAGATGCCTAGTGGCTGTGGCCATGGTGGCACCAGGACAAGTGTATCCAGTTCTTCATCCTTCAGACTATCCCAAATTTGTCTAAGCACAACAATCATTTGGTTCAGCAGGTGTGGGATGGAGCCCAAAATTGTTTTTTTAACAAGTACTCTTGGGGGCTGGTGCTGTGGTACAGTGGGTTAAAGCCCTGACCTGAAGTGCTGGCATCCCAGTCTTGGCTGCTCCTCTTCTGATCTAGCTCTCTGCTATAGCCTGGGAAAGCAGAAGATGGCCCAAATCCTTGGGCCCCTGCACCCACGTGGGAGAAATGGAAGAAGCTCCTGGCTCCTGGCTTTGGATCGGTGCAGCTCCAGCTGTTGCAGCCAATTGGGGAGTGAATCAGCAGGTGGAAGACCTCTCTCTCACACTCTCTCTGCTCCCTTCTCTCTCTGTGTAACTCTTCCAAATAAATAAATAAATCTTAAAAAAAAAATCTTAAAAAAGAAAAAAAGCTAATGTTATGGCGAGTCTTTCATACACTGAATATAAATGCCTAAACATTAATCCTGCAGATAGGCGTACACCTGTTCAATAAATAAATGAGTTCAATAAATAAATAATGCAAAGAAAACATGCTCTTGGATGAAACTGACCCTTAGGGGGCCCTTGCCCATGTAGGACAGGTTACCTACTCTGGAAGCTCCATCTTAGTCTCCTGAATGCTCACTCTGCAGGTCCCCAAAGGCTCCCAATCCTGACCACCGTCCCCACTGCACTGGCAGCCCCGTGAGGGCAAGGCTCAGCCCTTCTGGCAGAGCACTAGGGTGCCTCACGCTCACTACCGACTCGTGCAAGGCACAAGTTTTATAAACGGTGGAAAACCAAGCGATGAGGTCTCTGGGCAAGCTCTCTGAACGCTTCTGCTGTGTGCTTTCTTCTTTGATTTACTCTTCTACCTCTCCGTGGTGGGCCAGGGATAAAGTATGTTAAAAACAACAGCAGCAGCAGCAGCAACCCATAAAACAAAAACAATCCAAATATATCTTACTTGGATCAGGACCAGCAATACACAGTGATCTGCTGATGGCTCCTCTTGAACAGCTGCTTGTCCAGTGAGAAACATAGGATCTTAACATTATCAGAAGATGTGGAGGCACCAAGAAATGGGATGCAATTTCAAGCTTGGGGTAGGGGTGGAGGGGAGGGTGGGGGCGAGGGTGGGATCTGAACAACTGGGATTTACTTATTGCTCATCTCCCACGACCACGAATCAATGTGCCTTGGTCCTCCTGCTGGCGCAGACCAACTGACCCCCAAGACCCCCAACAGAGCAGCCAAACCACAGATGTATGATGATCATTTTAAGCCACCACCAACTTAGGGGGTAGTTGGTTACATGGCCATAGCAAACCAAAACCTTATTGTTTCTTCTCCAAATTTTTCAGGCCAATGCTGTGCACAGAGAACACACATTCAATAAATCTTCACTAGGTTAACAAATATTTGCTGAGCACCTACTATGTTGCAGATTGTGTTCTAAAAGTAGGAGATTCGATGGTGATGTAAATGGATATGATTCCTGTCCCTATGGCTAGTTCCAACAAAGAGATTCTCAGCGATGCAGAATGATGGATGAATTAAGCACTGTGGTGCCTGTTCAGAAACGGAAGTAGAGATGCTACAGAGAGCCAAACAAAGATCAATTCATTTGTGGGTGGGAACACTGTAAATAACAAAGTGGCATTAACTGATTCTGGAAAAGGGTACTTCCATATGGCAAAAAGTGAAATCAGCTTCATATACACACATGATCAGTTCCAGCCAGATTAAGATACTACAAGTCTGCAGCAGGGAAAGACTTCTCAAACAAGACCAAGACTCTCAAACCATAAAGGAGATAACTGATAAATTTTACTGCATAATAGTTAAAAACTATGAAAGGTACTTCTCTAAAATAAATGGTAGATTGAGAGAAAACATTTGTAACATACATAACACAGGAGTAACAGCCAGCATAGAGAATATCAAGTCAGTAAGAAAAGTAGGAAAATGGGAAAGAGACACGGAAACACAATTCACGGTAGAGGAGAAACCAGTCAACGGACATGTTAATCAGATAATCTGTCCACCAAACAGCAAGCTAAGAGTGCTGGCATCACTATTATTTACGGATAAGTCAATCACTTTGTTTTCTAGAGTGGTGTCAGGATCTGAAAAGTCAACATCTACTCCAAATAACTTGATGGAGATGTCTTAGGAGAGGTACAGCCATTTTAACAAAAACAAATAAATCCTGATGCAGGAGTATTTATTTTTGTGGTAAACTGTGGATTTAATGATTTCCCAGGAATATTTGTTTTTTAATGCTCACTCTGAATACCCTAAAATCCTGTTGCTTCAGTCAACTCACACATGGGGCTCAGAAGCCTTTATAACTCAAGCAAGTTTACACACACGTGTTTCTCATTTACACTGAGGGGATATAGAAACAAATCATATTTTAAAAAAGATGCATTCTTGAAGTAATTTTTAATTTAAAAGAAAATCAAAAGAAAAACTGAACAGTGCCTAAATCTTTATTTTTCATAACCTACATTTTTTTTTCAAATTAGACAGTTTTACACTGAATGACACAAAAGGAAACTTAAATTACCAATAGTTTACATGTAAGCTTGATTCCAGTCTTAATGAAAAGAAGTAGAACAAAAACAAAAACCCTCAAGAAAGCTTCCACATTACACTCCCATCTTGTGAACTGGCAGCTGTTACTGCTCCTTAAATCTTCGATTGTCTGCTGCTTTCTGTGTAACAGGCTATGAAGCACACAAAACCCACAACTATAACTCACTGAAGGGGATACAAAGACAGGTATGCACCATTAGTCACCTGTTGTGATACACCGAACCAGTTTTTAAATGTAAACTGCAGACATCCTGACCAATACAGCAACGTAAGACATTCCCGCCATTGGCTAGTGGCGACCAGTGATGCGATGACAGGAGGGACTGTTTGGAAACACCATGACACCAACTCTTAAGAGAACAACTACTCTACTTGAAATTCACGTCTGGTGAAATGGGACCAGGTTCTTATTCCTATATTTCCAAATGGTAAGTAACATCACACAATTTTACAAGTTAAAATGTCATTTGTGATTGCTGTATCTCTGATTCTATAACTTGAGGTACTGCTGGGGGTGGGGAAAGGAATGAGTTAAATTTTAAAAATTGTATGAAAGCCACATATCATTAGCTGTATGTGAAATTAGCAACAGTCTCTATGTGCCGTCACAGCTTCCTATTGTGAAAACTCCCATTTTTTTTTTTTTTTTTCTGAGTGGAACATCTCCAAAGCAATATCAGACAGGCTTTTTGTTCAACATTAAATAGCTATTTGGCATATCACCTTTGCTATAAAAATCACATCTGAGCAAGGTTTCAGCTCTGGATGCAACAGACTGTCGCTGGCTAAGCGGTAATTACAGTGTACTGACCTCGTCCGCTGGCAGCAGAACCCACCAGCACAGCCCCTTCTCTGTGCGATGCTACTCCACGTGCCCACTGCTCTCCTGCATGCTGCTCTTGAGCTCTAGCCTTTTAGCTTGCAAACAACCAACCACAGTTGGCTCTAATCACACACACGTCGTGCTGCAAAGCTCACACGCTGGGGAAAGGACTTACTGTTACAGACCCACTGGTGTGTGGGGACAGGGATGGCTGAGCACACCCTGGCACCTCTTTTCAAAGAAGTGACACAAAGGGCCCCGGATCTCAGAGCTTGCCCTCTGAGTGTTTACAGAATCTCTTGGTTTGGTTTGAAGAGGTCAATTATTTCCGAGTTTTCGATCCAGCGATCTGACAGCTACCAAGAAATTAATTCTCCCATTCCTTTATCAGGCATTTTAAACTTATTAGCACTGTGTGTATTTCTACGTCTCTGAATAATGACTACTGCCCTGAAGGAAACCGTGAGACACACCAGGCAGGTTTTCCTCTGGTAGGGTAAATCACACTTAGCAATATATGATTCGATTTAGTAATTCATTTTTCACTTTGACTTAAAAGATCCTACCAGTTTCTGCTTTCTACATTGTACTTCGGAATTCTTTCACATTAGATATGACTAGTATGCATTTCCATACTTTGCAAGAGAGTATGAAAACATCTCACGGCTTTTAATAAGACTTTCCATTTCCCTTTTGCAGCAAAGAGGCAAAATCAGTTCAACACACCAGTATGAGAGGGGGGGAAAAACCTCAACAAATTAAAATAATATTCAAACCACAACATTTAGTTTATCTACATCCAGCTCAACATCAACATTTATAATATATCAATAATTTTTATCAGATTTTCTCTGTAGGGTACCTTTTTTAATATGTTCTGATTATTTACAACTGTACAAGCAAAGCACACTCCCAAGTGCACATATTTAATACAGTATCAACTATTTGCATTTACAGGATTTTTCAACAATCTGAAAAAAGATCAACTGTTTAAGATCCTTAAGGTATATTACAAAAACTACTGCTAGTTCTTGTACTACGGTATGCTTACTCAGTAAAACTAGCGACAAGAGATCCACACGGTAACTGAGTAACTCTGATCCACTCACGCCAACCCAGGGGCCGGTCTCCATGAACTCTAAGCTGTCTTATACAAAAGTTAAGGCAAAGTCATTTTCAAGTTTAAATAAAATTCAAGTCTTTAAATATTGGATGGAAATAATTTTTAAAAAAAAAAACAACCTCAGTCTTGTTAAATAACATTTTGTGGAATAAACTGTATGGTTACATGTAGCAGGAAATATTTTAATGTCTGCTGCTTAGAATACTTAAAGAAAAATTTTAGGCATTTTAAAATAATTTATATTTAAATTTATTATAAACTTGCTAACTTTAGTGCATCCTTGTTCTTCAGAAGTACAACACTTCTAGAAGGGAATCAATGAGACCCTCATCTTGGAGGTAAAAAGAGCAACAATTTTTGTCCTCCACCAGCCAAAGAGGGGAAAAAACCACAAACACCATTCTCTCACCATTTTACATAACTTTAAATCCATGTGCTGATGCAGAGGTTCAGGAAGACGTCCACATGGAGCTAAGATGAGGACTCTCTTCAGAGAGTGCCTGGGGGCGGGGAGCATGGACAGAAATGTGCATGCAGCAGGTGCACCAGGCCAAGAGCCAGAGCAGCCAGCTCACGGGGATCATAAACCACTCCATGGTACAACGTCCTGGCAACGTGTCAGTGGCCAACAAAGTATATTTGCATTTAGGTTCTATTCACAATGTGCTTTGAATTGATTTTAGGTAATAGCCACTTGCAATTAAAGGGAGAAGCTGGCTACTTGCTGGCAGGACGTCAAGACTCAAAGCTTTCAGGTTTCTCTAGGGTGCGCTCTGCAGGTTCTTTCTGCCCACTGGATCCAAAGAGACCTATATGTACATTTCTATGTATTTTTAAATGCTAGAATCACTTGTTAACAGTTTAGATGAAAGCACAGCTCCCATGCCAGTGTGTCGGCAACCTGACACTGCCAACCCCTTTCCACCTCGAGGCCAAGGCCGCCCTTGCCAGCCCTCATCCATCTGCTGGGGCATCTGAGATACGCACTTGCAGATCAATATTATTTAAAAAAAAAATGAAGTAGCATAGTTCCCTTAATTTAGAAAAACTCACTATATATAGCTTGCATTCAGAGCCACATGGAGGCTTAATAAAAAACATCAATCTGTTGGGATAAATGCATTTTCTATCCTGAAAAAAATCAGACTTATGCATCACCTCCAGTTAAGCACCAACCTAAAATAAGGTTTATATTAATTAAATCCTGAAAAACAGATTTTTTTTTCCAAGAAGGGGAGAATCCGACTCACAGAAGAAAAAATAACTTGCAGGCATTCCATGGGCCTCACAGACACTGCAAGCGCCTAACCAGCGACTCATTCTCGTACTGAGTGGGAAGAGTGTTTCGTTTGTGGTTAATACAGCTCTTTGCAACCCCTCCCAGACATACGGTTTTCACTGAGGAGACTTGGGGGGAGTGTTCTGTTCTCTGTGAAGACGCTTCCCAACAGCTGGGGGCGAGGGCCGGCGCCCAGGCTGCCGCCTCTGGTCTTTGGGGGCTCCGGGAGTGGACTTGAGGGCAGGGGGCTCCCTGTATCTCTCCACAGGCTCAGCGAGCTTCTTTTCTTCCTTCCCACAACCGCCAGGGTTTGGCTTTTGTTCTTTTGGGGGTTGCAATGGGGAAGAAGGCGGCTCTTTACTCGTTCTCTGACAAATCTCCGCGTAACTGGGCTTTCGCAATTCCTGGAAGCAGACAAACATGGCATTACATGCAAAAAATGGTTTCTCCAGGGACAACATGGGGAACAAAGTTTACTTAGACAAAAACAAAGTTTTCAGCTGTAACTAAAAACTGCCATCTTCCCAAGTGCTTCTACTTTGAAAAAGTTCATAAAATTCAATGATGTGTAGCTTCTATGCTGTACAACTTTCCCTCGGAGACTTGAGAAACACCTTTTAAAAATGGATAAAATTAGAAAACGGAAGTCTAAGGAAAAAAAATGAAACTTCTAGAAAAAGACACAAACACTGCTTTTTCTTGCTCTGTTTTCTTCAGAACACAAGCAGGCAACAAGCCACCACACAGTAGCCCACCACTGACAGAGAAACTTCAAAAGCAGTCTTTGCAGGGGTGGGCCCCTGCACCCAAAATGCAGGGCTTGGGTTCAAGTCCCTGTTCTGCTTGGATTCTACCTTCCTGATAATGCACATGCTTGGCAACAGCAGGTGATGCCTCAAGTAGTTGGGTTCCTGCCACCCATGTGGGAGAAGACTGAGTTCCAGGCATCTGGGGAGTGAACCGTGGATGGAAGATCTCAGTCTTTCCCTGTCTATGACTTTCAAATAAATACACAAAGAACTTCTTAAAAAAGGATTGTGACAAAGCTAAAAACTTTTTTAAAAAGTGCAACAGGTTTTCAGATAAGGGGAAGCATGAAGGTTAAATAAGAGGAAAAAAATAAAAATATTTCAGCAACTAAATCCATTTGTTAATTTTAACCTACTGATTTTTTTTTTACTCAAACTGACAATAACGGCTGCATTCCCAAATCTGACATAAAAGCTCACCCAAGATCAACCTGAGGATGACATAAATTAGACTCAAGAGGCTGGATTCACCAGAGAGAAGCTACCAGAAAGAAAGTCACTGGGATCTAAACACGCCAGACCCACAGGGTTAGAGGTTAATGTGGCACCCCCTGTCTTATTCCTGTTTTGCTTAGTTCTTTTTATTTATTTGAAAGGCAGAAAGAGAGAGCAGAAGGAGGAGGAAGAAGGAACAGAAGAAGAAGGGAGGGAGGGAAAGAGAGAAAGAGAGACAGAGAGAGAGAGAATCTTCCACCTGCTGGTTCACGTCCCAAATGGCTACAATAGCAGGGGTTGGGCCAGGCTGAAGCCAGGAACCAAGAACCCCATCTGGGTCTCCCACATGGGTAGCAGGAACTCAAGTACTTAAACCATCATTTGCTGTTTCTCGGGTACATTAGCAGGGAGTTAGATTGGAAGCAGAGAAGCTGAGACTCAAACTTGCACCCCAAAATGTGGGTATGGATGTCCCAAGTGCCATAGCACCTGCTCCTGTTTTAATTCTTTAGCACACGAGATACACACTTAGAATAAATGCTAAATCGGTCATAAATTCTATGGAAGAACAGGGGCTATGATTTCAAGTAACAGTTACTAAAGTAACAGTTATCAACCAACACTGAAATAAAAGGATGCGATGGTAGCGATAATGAGAAAGAACCAGAGTAGTTAATGGAATATTACCAGCAAATATTCTGGACATTTTGCTCAAGAAACAACACAGACACAAATAAAAATCCATCAAGTGAGAGTTGATTAAAAATTCAGCTCATGCAGAAGGAGAGCACTGTGTGTTTCTACCACACCCAAAGCTTTGCGAGTGCTAGGAGAGGCAGGGGCTAGGTACTTACTGTGGCGGCTCCATTCACCTGCACCGATTTACACGCAGTTGTAGTAACAACAGAAGGGAGTCTGTCCACACTGTGGGTTTCCCTCTGCTTTTCTACCACCTTGGGATCCCTGTAAAAATGCCACCAGATATGGAAATTTCACGCAACAGTACAGGGCACTCAACTTCGTAAACACCAATTGTTGGTAGAACAGTAATACTCACTCAGGTAAATGGACTGGGGAGGGGGATCGTTCATATGTTGCTGATACAGCACAAGAAGCCGGCAATGAGGGTTCTCTGGGGACCACTACAGGAATAGTGTTCGTACTTGCATCTGCATTGAGGCTCTGAAAACCACCAGAGTAGGTTAAGCTCACAATCAAGAAGCATTTGTCAGACCTCTGTCAAAGGAAGTACGAGTCTAACTAATGCAAGTATGGAGATCTCCAAAACCTCCCGGCACTGCTTTCTGTCTTCCTGCTGGGACAGTAGATGGAGGGAATGCGTGGTGGGTCACTGTGGAAAATGACACAGGGGTGACTCTGATCTACAGCCACGGTTGAGGACGGCTGGCCCGAGGGATGTAAGCAGGACCACTCCACAAGACCTTCCTAGGTACTTGTTAGCAGGGTTAAAAAGGGGGAAGAATCCACTCTGTTGTCTTACAGGATAAAGGTAGGTCTGAGTAACAACAATAAAAATGCAATTCAAGTTTCTGGATGACTGTATAGATTTTACCTCTGACTCCACAGTCAGCAAGGGAACGAGACGAGACGGTTGGGCCTGGGGTTCAACACTCAGTTTGTCACTCCAAATCTGTGTGACCTCTGCAAATCACTTAATCTCTCTAAACCTCTTATGCATATTTAAAAAATAATGTGGATAAGAAGCTCTATAAAGTGCTTAGCACAAAAACCAGTGCTCAGTGAATGTTAGCAGCTTTAGACTTACAATATGTTATCTTACCCTTTCTTTTGATGATCCTATTATCAAGCTAGATAGCCTGTTTTCAAACAAGTCCTCTGTCTTCAAATTGCCTGCAGCTCCAGGTAATGGGGGGAAGTTGGACAGACCCAGTTCAAAATTTGGTGATGGAGGCTTTGGTGGTGTTGGAGACTGAGTTTGGCTGCTCTGCAATAGAATAACACTCTGTTAAGTCACACAAGTGTGCAAGCAGTGCAAGAGTAAAGCAAGGACACTTCTGAGTTCCACATTTGTCTGATCAATCTAAAACAAACAATGCACAGGTAATTCAACCACACAATGCTTCATCACACTTCAACCACCTACAGCAGACCCATTAGACTGAAATTCTAAGACTACAGCTGGCCAAGAGACAGATCAGAAAGGCCGTTAAAAAGGTGAATACACTGCACACAGTGCCCCTTCTTCATGAGTGTCAGAAACCTCTGAAGTCCAGTGCATGGAATCAGTTGACAGAAACCAGGGAAAGGCACAGGCGTGTACACAGAAAACAGAATGACCTAAAAACAAGGACGGCCTTATAAAATAACTCCATTAGACAGAAATCAGAACAGCCTGAATGTAGAATGTATCCCTGTTTATCTCCAGACAAATGTATTATACCACAGTGTGTTTATCTTAAGAGAAAAGCAATGGCACACTCTCAACTCTCTAAAGCTGTGTGTGAAATTCTACATAGATGTCGATTAAAAAAACAGGTGAACAGTAACAAAAGGCAGGAATGGAAGGAGTCTTTGGGTATCTGAAAACTGACTTATTGAAACACAGTATTTGATAACAGACCCTTCCTAGATTCTTTCAGAAGGTAAACTCTGCATAGTAACAGCCAACTGTAATTCGTAAGCTCAAGATCTCAGGAGAAAGGCAATGATATATTCTGAATAACTATCAACTTGCTCTAACAGGCTAGAACATACTGGTAAGTACGAAGTTCCTTGGTCAAAAGATACAAGGCTGAGAAAGGGAAAATGAGCTGACATTTATGTGAATGCAAGTCCTTCTTTAGTTGGAGTGCTGAACTACCACGCCCGGGAAGCAAAGATCTGATGAATCTACCCAGCTTCAAGCTGCCAATATTTCCAGAAATTTACACCAACAGGAAGATCATTCCCCGTACAACTGGGATCTACTGAAAATTTACCTGCACTCAAGTGACAGCAGGTTAAAGAATGAAAATGGATCCATGTTGACAAAAATTCCACTGTCTGTTTTGGGCACACTTGCCTATTTCTTGCCTTTACTGTGGCAGAAATGCCTAATTTTAACTTAACTTTACTAGTCATGTGTCCTCACCGCTAAGTTTATGCTTCTTATTGACCATCTGGCTGTTGTATGATCCCCATAATCTACTATAATGAACATAATGCTCAAAATAATCTAACAAAGTTTCAGGTTACAAACAGACACTATGTTCTCAAAACAATTTTTGGAGATTTTTGAAAAACATGTGCATACGAGCTGGCATTATGGCGTAATGGGTATAGCCACCACCTGCAGAGCCAGCATCCCATGAGTGCCAGTTCAAGTCTCAGCTGCTCCATTTCTGATCCAGCTTCCTGCTAATGTACCTGGGAAAGCAGGGGAAGATGGCTTAAGTCCTCGGGCGCCTGCACCCATGAAGGCCAAGAAGTTGTTCCTGGCTCCTTGCTTCAGACTGGCCCTGCTCTGGCCATTGTGGCCATTTGGGGAGTGAACCAGTGGATGGAAGATTTCTCTCTGTTTCTCCCTCTCTCTACTTCTTTCAAATAAAACAAATCATTTTTTAAAATGTGCATGTTACTGAGATGAATGCAACTTTTCCAAAGATAAGCATTTTTAGATAGCTTGGAAAAATTTACTAAACCTTGATTTTTAGGAGCAAAAGGAGCAGGCAACAACTACCCAGGTGTTGGAGCTTGCAGAACCCAAATAGGGCTTGACTCTGAAGGCAGCATTTAGATTTTGTCAGGATTTGAATGCCTTGGAGTGAGGCATGACTGCTGCTCCTGGTCCTAAGGCATTGATCAGGCCCAAATGCTCACATCTTGGTTACTGTATATAAACTTCTGAACTTATTAGAGTATATAAGCACAATAAATGGTATAGTCTCTCTGACAAAGAGAACTTCTGAGCCATATTTCTCAATTTCTAAGTGGTTCAGCACATGAATCAAACAAAATATAACATCAACAACAACAAAAACCTAAAACAGATGTCAGTGGAACACTTCAGGGCAGGCCTAACAGTGCCAGCAGGTTTCAAAACAGATATTCAGATGCCAGCCTTGTTATTCTAAACTGCTACAAGAATTCACGAATGCCAATGGGAACTGACCAATATGAACTGCCTTACCAAAGAGTTAAAATCCTGCCACAATGCTCTCCTATTTCGTGGATTTGAAAAGTCCCATACCAACATCCATTATAGCTATATACAAATATTTTTTACAGGAGAAACTGTTCAATCAACCCAAGTAAAAAATCGCCATGTCTCATGTGCCTATCACCCACTAATTTATTACTTATTTTTGGTATTGTCCTTGTCCTATCTGTAACTTATAGCAAAAGGCAACAATGTTTGGTTCATAGCGGATTTGTGTTAAAATACTTCAAATGGGGGTTGGTGTTGTGACACAACAGGTCAAACTGCTGCCTGTGACACCAGCAACCCACATGGGTGCCTGGGTGCCGGCTCAAGTCCTTGCTGCTCTACTAATCCAGCCCCCTGTAATGGCCTGGGAGAAGCAGTGAAAGATGGCTCAAGTGTTTGTTTGGGCCATGGCACCTACGTGGAGACCAGGAGGAAGTTACTGGCTCCTGGCTTTGGTCTGGCTCAGACCTGGCCATTGCAGTCATTTGAGGAGTAAACTAGCAGATGGAAGATCTAACTCTGTTAGCTCTGCTTTTCAAATAAATAAATTTTTTCAATGCTTCAAATGAAAAGCACTGCCAAGCAAATTTCTACACAGGAGAAGCTTATTCTACTGGTCAACACTACTAGTATTGCCTCATCTGTAGTTTTGCTTTCCGGCATGTTCAGTTTCCCTCCCCCGCCCGCCATTAATCACAGTTCCAAGATTTTAAGTGGCGAATTTGAGATATAGTGCCAGTTTGAAACTATGTGCCGTTCTGAGTAGCATGTACATTTCTTGCTCTGATTCACTGCATCCTGTGCAGGGAGTGAATCACCCCTCTGTCCAGTGTATCCAGGCTGGATGCTATCACACTGATTAGTCACTTAGTAGCAATCCTAGTTTTCAGATTAACTGTAGTGGAATCATAGTGCTTTTGTTCACATAGCCCATATTTTACTTAATAGTGGTCTCAAAGTGCAAACTGATGACACCGGCAATTCAGATCTGCCAAAGAGCAGCCACAAACTGGCCTTCAGTGAAAAGATGAAAGTTCCTGAGTTTCTAAGAAAAACAAAATCAAATCTGAAGTTGCTAATACTGACAGTAAGGATGAATCTTCTCTCGGTGAAATTATGAAGAAGGAAAATTAAACTCTTGTGCTATTTTTTGCTGTTGCACTTCAAACACTGAGGCAGGAGACAGGTAAAGGTTAACTGAGGAAACTGAAAAGCTAATTCCAAAACTCTTTCATGGTCTATTTCTCTCCTGTCTGCCTCCCTTATCTGCAACCTTGAGGCAGGAGACCAAAAAAAAAAAAAAAAAAAAAAAAAATCTCCTCCACTTAGAAGCTGTATACATATAAGATAATGGCCAGATGGCCTACACACCAGGTGACTTCAAAACCACAGTAAGGGCCCCTTGGCCAAGACCAACTCCTAAGAAATCACAGCCCTCATTATCCTCAGGGCCTCAAGTCTCAGTCTCACACTGAGTTTCGATTCTTGGGTCACTTCTACTCTCTTAAAAAAGCACACTTTCGGGGCCGGTACTGTGGTGTAGCAGGTAGGGCTGCTGCCTGCAGTGCCGGCATCCCATATTGGCGCTGCTTTGGGTCCCGGCTGTGCCTCTTCCAATCCAGCTCTCTGCTATGGTCTGGGATAGCAATGGAGGATGGCCCAGGTCCTTGGGCCCCTGCACCTGTGTGGGAGACCCGGAGGAAGCTCCTGGCTCCTGGCTTCAGATCGGCGCAGCTCCAGCCATTGTGGCTCATTGGGGAATGAACCAGTGGATGGAAGACCTTTCTCTCTCTCTCTCTCTCTCTCTCTCTCTCTCTCTCTCTCTCTCTCTCTTTTTTTAAAGTGTACTTTCTTTTCCTATAGTAAACTTTTGCTGTTATACTTACCGTGTGAGCTTCATTTGAAGCTGAGGCATTGTTTGAGGCTCAAAAGAACCTGTACCTTGTCATAACCTTCCTACTCCCTACTCCTACAATAACAGTGAACACTATAAATGCTTAGTTAAGGTGGAAAAGGCACTAAATTGAAGGATGGCTATTATCTGCTATCTTGGGTTTTCACCGAGGTTTTGGAACATAACCCCAAGAATCAGGGGGTACTGAATACTACATTCTAAATTCTATAACAGGGCTACCCAAACAGAAGAACTGGTCTGGACACCAGTACAGAGACTGCACTATGTGCAAGAATAAGTTCTTGACTGCACCTATTCCATAGGACACATGTTTACCCACTGTGGAAAAAATACTCAGGAAACTAGGACCTGCACCATGTCCTCCTCTTTAGGCTATCAAAAATCAGTTACCACTTAATGAATATCATGCTAAGAGAAAAAAAATCATTTGAAATGCTTCTTCTCATGTCTTCACCTTATTTACTCCAATAAATCTCATGTCTGTTTAATAGGAATTACATTTAAATGTCATAAAAGTGACATATGCTGTATGTACTCACCGTAAACTTCTCCTCCCTTTTCTTCCTATAGCCAAAGGAATTTTTCCTAGAGGAGCAGAAAGCAAAAAGACTTATTTTTTTCCTGGCTGGACAATTGGTCATTGAGCATTATGCTTGTGCTCACATATTTAAAGCATGCATCAATTTAGTCTTTGTTACTCTGTAATTGTTCAAAGATGACCCAATTCTCAGATCTGAATCTTGGGTCCAGAGTTGTGGTGCAGTGGGTAAAACTGCTGCCTTTGACGCTGGAATCCCATATGGATGCTGGTTCATGTCCTGCTGCTCCACTTCCAATCCAGCTTTCTATTATCGTGCCTGGGAAAGCAGCGGAAGATGGCCCAAGTGCTTGTGTCCCTGGACCCACATGAGAGACTCAGAAGCAGCTCCTGGCTCCTGGCTTTGGTCTGTCCCAGCCCTGGATATTGCAGCCATTTGGGGATGAACCAGTGGATAGAAGAGATCTCTCTGTCTTTCTCTCTCTCTGTATCTCTGCCTTTCAAATAAATAAATAAATAAACCTTTAAGAAACAGAAGTATAGTTAAAACATAAAAACTTTATGGAAAAGTTTTAAATCTTAGGTTCCTATAGGTAAATAAAATAACATCTGGGGCCAGTGCTGTGGTGTAGCAGGTTAAGCTGTAGTGCTGGCATCCAATAGGGGTGCCAGTTTGAGTCTCAGCAGCTTCACTTCCAATCCAGCTCTCTGCTATGGCCTGGGAAAGCTGTAGAAGATGGCCCAAGTCCTTGGGCCTCTGTACCCATGTGGGAGACCCAAAAGAAGCCCCTGGTTTCTGGCTTTGGATTGGTGCAGCTCAGACTATTGCGGCCATTTGAGTAGTGAACTAGCAGATGGAAGACCTCCCTCTCTCTCTCTCTGCCTCTCTGTAACTCTTTCAAATAAATAAATCTTTAAATAAAAAAAATTACTATAAGAATTAACTTAGGGGCTACTCAACATTATTTAAAGATATTAATATTCATTCAGTTGGAATAAAAAGGTATATAAAATCTGATACTAAACTAATAGGAAACTTGTTAAAAATGGTAGTGAAAGGTTATCAAATGCAAATTTGCTTGATACTAAAACTTAAAAAGACCCCAAATAACCCATCCCACACTCCTTCACCCCTTAGTTTTATATACTACTGCTTTCAATGGCTTATCTTCTACCACAAAAATCACATAATGATCTCTAGATTCCAAGAATTATCTCTTTTATCCTACTTGCTGGCCTTCTGAACAGTGCTCTAGATTCTTGTCACTCTAAATTAGACCTCCTGTAGGTAGCAAGGTTATATCATACATGGCAGTTTATAACTGTATAAACATTTTATTAAGTGGTGACTTCACATTGGGTCCTTAGGATCCTACGATGGCTAAGACACGTAGACCTGGACTAGTCACATATTACTTTCAATTTATAATTTTATATTTATCCATTATTTTAACTAAACACAAAGACTTCCCAAGGGCCTTTTATAAAGGGACTTCAAAAAAGTTTATGGAGGGGCCAGTGCTGTGGCATAGCAGGTAAAGCCGCTGCCTGCAATGCCAGCATCCCATAAGGGCTCTGGTTCGAGTCCCAGCTGCTCCTTTTCAACTCCCGGCTGCTCCATTTCTGATCCAGCTGCCTGCTAATGTGCCTGGGAAAGCAGTGGAAGATGGCCCAAGTGCTTAGGCTCCTGCACACATGTGGGAGACCCAGAGGAAGCTCTTGGCTCCTGGCTTCGGTCTGGCCCAACCCAGGACACTGAAGCCATTTGGGGGTGAACCAATGGATAGAAGAGATCTCTCTCTCTCTCTCCCTTTCAAATAAATAAATAAATAAATAAATAAATAAATCTTTAAAAAACAGAAGTATAATTAAAACATAAACAACTCCGGCCGTTGCGGCCATTTGGGGAGTGAAACAGCAGATGGAGGATTTCTCTCTGCCTCTACCTCTGCTTCTCTGTGACTCTGCCTTTCAAACAAATAAATAAATCTTTAAAAAAGAAAAGTTTAGGCCGGTGCCATGGCACACTTGGCTAATCCTCCGCCTGTGGCTCTGGCACCCCGGGTTCTAGTCCCAGTTGGGGCGCCGGGTACTAGTCCTGGTTGCTCCTCTTCCAGTCCAGCTCTCTGCTGTGGCCCGGGAGGGCAGTGGAGGATGGCCCAAGTGCTTGGGTCCCTGCACCTGCTTGGGAGACTGGGAGGAAGTACCCAGCTCCTGGCTTTGGATCTGTGCAGTACTGGTCGTTGTGGCCATTATGGGAGTGAACCAATGGAAGGAAGACCTTTCTCTGTCTCTCTCTCTCACTGTGTATAACTCTACCTGTCAAATAAAAAAAAAAGTTTATGGAGAAATGGAATTAAAAGAAAAGTTTAGGGGCTGACGTTGTGGCACAGTGGATTAAGCCGCCACTTGCTATGTCTGCATCTCATATTGGAGGCTAGCTCACATCCTGCCTGATTGCTTCTGATCCACTTCCTGTTAATACGCCAGAGAAAGTAGTGGAAAGTAGCCCAAGTAATTGGGCCCCTGCTACTGATGTGGGAGACCTGGATGGAGCTCCAGACTCCTGGCTTTTGAGGCCATCTGGGGAGTGAACCAGAGCATGGAAGATATCTCTTCCTCTCTTTCTCTCCCTGCTTTTCCTTATCCCTGTCTCTCTGCCTTTCAAATAAACAAGATTGTTTTATTCTGCTACCGAAAGAGAGAGAGAGAGAGAGAGAGAGAGAGAGAGAGAGAGAGAGAGAGAAAAGTGAAATCAATGCATATAAGGGGTTTCAAGAAATTCATCACAATGAGCATTACAAAGAAAATGACAGAACTAAACTTTTTTTTCAAAATACATTTAATTCCATTTTCTATGAATTTTTGGAAATACCTTCATAATGTATAAGATGGAAAGAAGATTAGAGATAATATTCACAACTGCCTTTACAGAAAACCAAAAAGTAGTCTTGTCTAAGATGACAAAGCTAACAAGTAGAATGAGCTTAGATCCCCTCAACTTCTCAGTCAAACATGGGATGCTCTCTGAACCCTTCTGGTAGCCCCTCAAGCAGAAGTAAGACACAAGCTGTTGGGATTTTGGAACAAAGTCAGGCCACCTCCTGCAGAAAATCTGCTCTCTCCTTATGTAGCAAAGCATTCTGGAAATAGCTCCTGGCTGTCGACTACTAGGCCCTGGGTGAGACTAAATGCTTGACTATGGCACATCAAATGACAAAGAGACCTCGGCTGGCTATCACGGATGGGGCACTAACCTATAAAAAGCTGGGCACAAATGCTAACCATTGACTGTCTTACAAGGTTGGTGCTTGGCCATTCAGTGACCAGTTCTCCTTCACTTTAATCCATACTTAGGGCATTCGTGGGGCCTGTGTTGAGAGACAGTGATGGGCCGGCATTACAGATATTCATGCACACTGTATAGAATGGCCTCAGGATCACTCCCCAGAAGGCCAGGAAACTTTCCCAGTGGGCAGAACTCTGGATGCACTGTGTCTGGACTTGGGAATGTAGAAAGAGTAGATCTGTACTAGCTCAAGAGACAGGAGCTTGTATCTGGCTGGATGAGAGATTTCTAGGAGTTGGAACTCAAAGCTTGATAACAAGGAGATCTGGGAGAATGAGTGTGGGATGGACAGTATGAGCATGTGTGTTGTGAGTACTGTCCAGAGGAAAGGAAGAAATCGTGCAGAAGCTCAACCCAGGGGCAACCCGACCACAGTCGTTCTAGTCCCTGGGGAGTGCAGAAGCTATGCTTTGCTGGAATAGACCTGTGTCCTGGATACAGATGTGACCACCATGGGGTTCTAGCAGCATCACTCTCGGCAGACCTAATCAAAGACTTTCCTCACCCTAATCAAAGACTTTCCTCACCCTCATGGTGCTCCATGTGTTCGACCTAGAAACCTGCTGGCTATCAGACTCCATTATTGAGAATCCAGGCAGGCCAAGTGAAGACTCAGCTACAGTTCTGGGAGGAAGGGGAAGTGTGTGATTCAACGTAGCACCACAGCCAGAGGCATGGTTCTGGCACCGTAAGGAGAAATCTCTGTTATACTGCAGAGTTAGTACTTCTTTCAACTCAGAATACTGTTGGTTTGAGTATCTTATTTCCAAAGAGAAATGCTTCTGTAAGGTGAGGAGCTAACAGTGGTTCCATTGAGACAGAAACAGAAACAGTCACCTGGCATATGGAGTTCTTCATCATACTAAATCCAGCCAGGGTGAAAAGCCCTGCAGTTGGCTGGCGCCATGGCTCACTTGGCTAATCCTCCACCTGCGGTGCTGGCACCCTGGGTTCTAGTCTCGGTTGGGATGCCAGATTCTGTCCCGGTTGCTCCTTTTCCAGTTCAGCTCTCTGCTGTGGCCCGGGAGGGCAATGGAGGATGGCCCAAGTGCTTGGGCCCTGCACCCACGTGGGAGACCAGGAGAAACACCTGGCTCCTGGCTTTGGATCGGTGCAGTATGCCGGCTGTGGCGGCCATTTGGGGGGTGAACCAACGGAAGGAAGACCTTTCTCTCTCTCTCTCTCTCTGTGTCTAACTCTGCCTGTCAAAAAAAAAAAAAAAAAAAAAGGCCCTGCAGTTGACTATTGTACAGGGTGAGGGAGAAAAGCATGCCTGGACCCTGGGTATCCTGCAGAGTGCCTCTTACCCACCCCTACCTGCAATGGGGAAACAAGGTGCGACATGACCAGTGTGCATCAGTTCCTTCAATAAGGAAGATCTAGATCGCCCTTCTCATTTAAGAGCCCTGAGCACTCAATGCTTCATCTGAAGACAGAGGAAACATAAGACAAAGTAGAAGAAGAAAGTTACAAATATTAACTGTGGCTTCATGAACAATTACAGAAACAAAGACTGTGGAAGCTATGCATGCTTTCTCAGGAGCGCCATGTGTATTTATCAGTATATGTTAACTAAACTCTTCACTGTTTATTGTTTGTGGCTACAATTAGGGATTATTTAAGGGACAGCATAACTTACTTGTTGTGGACAAAGTGAGACTCTATATTTACGTAAAATCAACATCTGTTAGGCACAAGCATAAACGTGTAATTGCTACCATTTGTATACTGATGAAGGATATACAAGGTGATTGGATAATCCAAGTGGCATACCTTATTGGTTAACAAGTTACTGTCTCTCAGCTTCAAACCCACTTTTTATTAATATGTTGTGATAATGTGGCTGAGATTCTGCAAACCTCATTTTCCTCACTGCCCACTGGAAAATGAGCAAGGTGAGGAGCCCACTGGACAGAGCTTGGAGGGCATCCTTTGTCAGAGGCCAGCGACAACCACCAAGGTGAGACTGTAGGCACAAACAATGGAGTCTAGGAGCTGATGAGCTCCAAAATTCTTTGCAAATAATGACTGTGACCTCAAATAGTTCCACTTCATCTACACTTCTCATGGAACAATTTCATACTACAAAAAAGATGAAACAATCTAAATCTTTGCTCTAATGTAACCGCAAACAGCAATTGCATAAACTCCTTGATGTTTATAGCCTTCAGTTTGGCTTTCTGTGATGTATGTGAAAATATTATAAAACAAATCTAAATTTAAAAATTTAAAAACATTAATATTTTATGACAGAAATATAGTTTACATTTAGCAAACCTTATGTAGACAACTCACCTTCCTCTCCCTAAACCAGGAGAGGATTCAAGACTACCTGGCTCCACGCGCCCAGTTCCAATCTCTCTCTTGGCATAAGCTGAGGGGTTTTGTATTCGTGTTCTAGTTTGCCCTGTTTGCCTTGTCTGTGGGCTCCGGACACCATTAATTAATCGATCTGCAGTGAAGTTAAATATTGAAGGACTTTCTAATAGCCCAGGGCCTCTGTCTGCACTAGGAATCGCATGGCGCAGATGAGACTTAGTAGGATTCCTGAAAATAAAATGTATGTGCTCAGTTATGAATCAAATAAGGCATTACATAGTAAGCATGCTAGTGCGATATCTATGCTAAAATCTGCTTCCTCTTTTTATAAAGATTTGTTATTTAGAATAGCTAACACTCAAAGGCCCTCCTTTGCTGTTTGTAAGTCCAAGTCCAACCTAAAAATAAGGCATATATAGGGCAAGCTGCCCACAAGTCTTCTCTGCAGAGAATCTAACCTTTATGTAGGAAACTGTAGCACTAATTTGATTGTTTCATTTTTACAGAATGTTGACATTGGCTTTGAACAGTTTTTACCTCTTGTGAACATTACTAGTGGTCAAATATATCTCTTATTACAGATGCTGAAAAACAATAAACATGAAGCAAACAAACTTTTGAACCACTGACAGAACTTGCCTGCTTCTGGGAGGATACTGTCTGAGTGAAGTCAGAGGAGAGGCTGCAGGTTTGAAGGTTGGAGACGTAAACCCGTTTATAAATCCAGTATTTGGAAATGGAGTTACCTATATTCAATAACAAACAAGTAAACCATCCATAAAACAGATTTCAATTTGGTTAATATTATCATATCTTGTGGTAACCTTGGTAATTTCTTAGTCTTGTCGGGGATGCTATATTCTACGTTATACCTAAAAATAACCGCAGATTGGCAGAGCATTTTATAAGATTATTAGTAATGGCTAAGATTTATTGAACACTCATAACAACCAAGCCAGTTCGAAGAACTTTTCTGCATCATCTCAGTTAATACTTATAACAATTCAAGGAGCAAGATAATTTCTACATGTAGAAATTGACATTAAGATAGAACTCTGCATAAGATCACATGGGATCCATGAAGACAAGGACCTTGAGACAAGTACTGTCTGTAATGTTTAAACTAACTGTTAGTAAGAACACCATCTGCATTACTAGTAAGAATTAATTCTTGGGGTCGGCATTGTGCCATAAGGGGTTAAGCTGCAACCTGCAATGCTGGCATCCCACATGGGTGCTGACTTATGTCCCGGGGACTCCATTCTGATCCAGCTCCCTGCTAATCACCTGGGAAAGCAGCGAAATATGGCCCAATGTGGGAAACCCAAATGAGGCTCCTGCCACTGGCCTGGCCCAGCCCCAGCTATTGCAGCCGTTTGGAGAGTGAACCAGCAGATGGAAAATCTGCCTCTCCCTCTCTCTAACTTTGCCTTTCTTTTTTTTTTTTTTTTTGACAGGCAGAGTGGACAGTGAGAGAGAAAGAGAGAGAAAGGTCTTCCTTTGCCGTTGGTTCACCCTCCAATGGCCGCCGCTGCAGCCGGCGCACCGCGCTGATCCGATGGCAGGAGCCAGGATCCAGGTGCTTTTCCTGGTCTCCCATGGGGTGCAGGGCCCAAGCACCTGGGCCATCCTCCACTGCACTCCCTGGCCATAGCAGAGAGCTGGCCTGGAAGAGGGGCAACCGGGACAGAATCCGGCGCCCCAACCGGGACTAGAACCCGGTGTGCCGGCGCCGCAAGGTGGAGGATTAGCCTATTGAGCCACGGCGCCGGCTCTCTAACTTTGCCTTTCAAACAAAGTAAGTCTTTTTTAAAAATAGAAGTAAATCTTTATTTTTAATAACTTTATCAAAATTCATCAAATTTCTCAATTTAGGGCCATCTATATACTTACTGCTACAAACTGCTTATTTTACAATCACAGCCTTTTAGAGCACTATTATTTTAACCTTTAGTTTCATGCACATCTTGCTCTAAAGATCAGGATATTTTTAGATCATTAACAATTTAAGTGATATATGGCATACAAATATAGCAGAGTTCTTAATCCACTGTTGTGGCCATTTGGGGAGTGAACCAGCAGACAGAGGATCTCCCCCACCCTGCCCTTGCTGCTCTGCATTTCAAATAAATAAATAAATACATCTTTAAAAGTATATATTAACCTTTCTCTCTGTCTCTCTCTCTCACTATCCACTCTGCCTGTCAATATATATATATATATATATAAAGCTCAGAATTCTAAGTATCGGCCAGCTGATAATAAAACTTAGTGCTGAGTGGGTGGGTACAGAGGGAAGAAACACCAAGTTCCTAAAGTTGTACTTAGGAAATGCATGAAGTCTGAATTCCTTAAGCAAAAGGTTTCAGGGGAAAGGGAACCAGTGTTGAAATAGTTAAATAACCAGACCCAACAGGAAGCTATAATTGAAAAAAGGGATATTAGAGACAGGTTAGGACCAAAATAATTCTCCAATTTAAAAGAGAAAAATTTCAAAGCAAGAAAAAAAAATGCTTCACATTTTCTTAAAATTTCTAATTCACTGTTTGAGAAACTGTATTGTCAGCAAGAATCAGACAAATTCAAATTATATTACACCAGAAGGGCCATCAATTCAAACTTGAATTCTGGAGACTGTAAATCATGGTAATGCCAATAAGGACTAGCCATTTCACACTAAGAAAATTTCCACACAGAACTGTGATGTTTCATTAATAATCCTCAAGAGTTGAAAAATAAAATTGGCTGTTAACACAATAATTTAATATCAAAACCTACTGGGAATGAACAAGTGCCCTCTCTTCATTTTTGCTCAAACACAATGTTTAAGAAAAGTAAGAGAGCTTTAGTGGAGGGTTCTGACCTCTCATTCTCAGACTTGGTCCAAACGACCATCATAAACAGCAACCTGAACATAAAACACAAGTTGAGGACATAACTAACCCAGGATCCCAAGCGAGCCCAGTACAGACTAGGGATTAAATGGAGAAATGGGAGAAATAACTGACTGCAGGAAGAAGTGAATAGGAAATATTTTTTCAATAGCATGAGTCTACAGATTATACTTCCTCTTTGGTCCTCTTGACATATTTCCAGAAAGGGAACTAAACTACCCTGAGTACACCTTTACAGAATGTAGCAATACTTTTTTAAAAGCAGCACAGTTTCTTACCACTGGGAGTCATTCAAATAAGAAATAACTGAATTTTAATCACTTGTATGCCAAGCATTTTTTTTATTGCAGTGGTTAAAACTTTTGGTTATGGGCCCCTTTGGGAATTCCTCCTAATTTGTTTCTGTCCCTGCCTGCCCTTCATTTTGCTATAAGAGCTACAGTTTCCTCTTCTTAGAAACCTTAGATGACTTCCTCTAAGCCACAAGGTAAAAGCCCACCCATCTCAGGAAAATGGCTAAGAAACTGGGCAGTCTGGCTCGAATCATTCAGCAGCCCCACTCCCTAGCTCCCTGCACACGTTCTATACTTTAGCTTAGAAACACTCTCTCTAATCCATAACCATCTGTGTGCTTTAGGGCATGAAATTTATTTTCATGAAGGTTCCTTCTGATAACCCGAAAAACTCAACTTCAGTGACAGCACAGTACCTGATAACCCTCTGAATTATTAAGTTTAATGGCATTTTGTATTTGTGACTTTATTGCAATTATCACCTGCTTGATGTATGTCTTTTCTACTCTGAGGCTTTTCACAGATATATATTTTTACTTTCTAGATTATATCAGGCAATAGCAATCCAAGTTTCATCAACACTTTTTCTCTCAAAGTCTTTGTTTTCCATATGTATCCTCTTCTGCCTGTCAGTGGTAACATCTCTGGATGACAGGGTATCTGGCTCTCAGTCATTTGACCCTGAGTACCAACTTGGTCCACAGTCATATCCTGGACATGAACTCTTACCAAAGCTATTAACTCAATACCTGCTTTCTGACGATAATCTATGCATTTTACCCTTCTATCTCTCTTATTCAAACTAAACCTGCAGTGCTACCTCATATAAATCTCCTTTCATCTTCTCCTCTTAACCCATACCTAAACTTCAAGAATGCTTCTATTAAATACTACTGATTCTCACATATCCCACTCTAAGTCCAAGGCGGAAGCCTCCTGATCTTCCTATTATCTATAGCAGCTTAGCTGAAGCAAATGATGGAATCCATTAGAAATTTATAAATCCCAACCACAGCCCTTAACACAGGCCAAAGTTTGGGAAAAAAAATAATAATCATATTAAACCAGCTCAAAGGCTGGTATGAGAAGTAAAATAAAGCTTGTGAGATAGCATAGGTTCTACTTGTCTTTGACTGTTATAAGCCTATTAAAGTACCTCTTTAACAAATCTCCCTTCCATTTCCTTTTGTGTTCAAAAGGTCATCAGCTACACTAGAGCTCTTATTACATACTGTGTCTTTGAAGGAAAAAAAAAAAAGCTGGACAGAAGGGGAAATGCGCTGGGCAAGGACTATGAGATCAAGATCATAGCATTTCAAAGTTTTTTCAAGCAAATGGCTCAGTTCTTATCACCCAATTAAAACTCAAAACCCACAATATAACCTGAAGGTTTATTTTTGGAATGGCAAATTGCATACTTATCTGGCTCCCATATTAGACTAGGCTTTTAATCCTTTAAAGTACCCGTGTCTATCATACATAGTTCTGTGAGTAAACTCCACGTAAAGACTTACCAAGGGTGGATCGAGATAGCTATGCGTTGTTGACCATGTCTGGGGGGCAATCAGGCTGTACAGAGGAAACTGTTGTTGGGGACTGTATACTGGAGGTAAATAAAATGATGTTGTGTAACGCTGCTGTGTATAAAGGTTCATGTCGAGAGGTCTAAATCCATTCTTTGGCAAAAACGTGTTTATAGCTATTGCCTTTGCTTTTATCCGCGCCTGTTTGAAAATATTTAAGTTCCTATTAGAATACTTAAGAACAAGTTAGAAAATAAAGCACAACCAAGAGTCTTGTTTACCTTAATTGGTTTTCCTTGAAAAGTTTTGACTTCTTCTCGCAGGTATTTGTAAGCCTATGAGCAAAATCAACAAAAATATCATTCTGTTAATCTTTCACTAAGATAGACTGATAATCAGTTCAAAAGATCAAATAAAAAATTAAATAGCTACCCTATGGTGGACAAGACCTAGCACAGTGATGACTTTTTTTGGGCCACAGATCCTTAATATAACATCACAAGAGCTAGGGAATTCTAGCCAAAAGTCTCAGAAACAAGATTTGTGCACAGTTTCGTTAAATATTAATAGATACTATCAAGTCTCACAAAGACCAAATGCTGAGAATCTTGCCCAAGGGGAAAATGATGACAACTGAGTTCCAATTTTGAAACCAAGATTACGCAGTTCAGTAGTAGAAATGCTGGGGAGGAAGGAAGGCTGGATTCATAGTTTATTCAAGTAATTATGTGTGTGTGTGTATATATATATATACACACACACACACACACACACACACACACACATATATATATATATACACACACATGTAGATATATATATGGCTCCTTGCTCTTCTCCAAATCAAATCTACATTAACCTCCTTATATAACTCTGAAGGCTCTGACACTCTGACTCAACCTCAACCAACCACACTCATCAGGCAGGTCAGCAGAGCTCGCTCTATTCCACAAACATGGTGATTATGATCTCCCATTCTCCCCCTTTCCCCTCCTATCCAACTAAAATCCATCTTTCAGGTTTTTTCTCTTCTAAACCTCAATAGCATTTACACAATTTAACACTTTATAGCACCAAGACATTTGTTAATTTGTTTTTCCCAAATAAGATGCTTACTTTAAAGGCAAGAAAATAAATTACTTAACTTCTTATGTCTCCTTAAGGAGCTCACTTCTCATTACCCTTAAAAGCCTCTTTGTCACACACAATGATGATATAAAGATTAAGGTAAGGTTAAAATTTCCAAAAGGCCTTTGCAAACAGTAAAATCTTTCTCTGCCCAGATTTAAGAACAGAACTGATTTTCCTAGGTGGTTTACCTTAACAATTTCTTTAAGGAAGTAATGTCACATGTTTCTTATATGGCTACAAAACTTACCTATAAAAATACACACATTTAAGTTTCCATAACTTGATTTTATCTGCAGCTTACATTCAAACACCACCACAATACGAGAATAATCTCAATGTCCAAATTTAGTCCCATTATATACTAGTAATAAGCACTGGTAAACTATGTACTTCATGAGTACTAGTGGGAAGAACCTACCTGCTGTGCATCAGCTTCTGTTTCAAACGTAATAAACCAATTATCATTATAGGCAAATTCACAGTTTATAAATTTCGGTAAATTATTTCCTTTAAATAGTGCTTCTACTTCCTATAGGAAATAGAGAGGTTAAAATTTAATTCTTAATTATGTCACTTTTGTCCTCATCAAAATTTTTACAATGCATAACTCTTAAGGGCACATCCTTAAAGTCTAACATATGTCAATGTGTTTCAAAACAGGCTAAAAGTTTCAGTGGGGTTTCCAGAATCAGAATCACAATAGCATAGGAAGATAACACAGTTCATTGATAGTTGTTCCATTAAGCTACATTAATGTTAAAAACATATTACCATCATATCACTCAGCTAATAAATACACTTTAAAACAAAGATAAAATATGCGAAAAATCAGGGTTTTTAGGCACTGGACATCAGGCAGTAAAGGAGAATGATCCCTCAGAAAGGGGACATTAACAAGACAAGCCCCTAAAGTGCCCAGCTGCCCACTGTTGAGTTTTGAGGCAGCAAGAGCAAGAAGGGTAAGTGCAGACTCGAGACCTCTGCCCTGGGTCTTTAGCCTGAGGCTGCGAACAACCACCTGAAATGGTTAGTGGGTGCAGCTCCAGAGTGAGCTCACTGGGAGGGGAATGGCGGTCTTTCCACCAGCCAGAGCAGAAAACTTTACTAAATTCACAGGATTTCAGGTAGGATTACTGAGAAGGGTATCATCTCAACAGGGGGATCAAACAGTCCAAGAACAAAGGCTCCTCTGATTCCATCTTACAAATACTAAATATTCCTTAAACATCAAACGGGTTCTAGGTTAACAAACTTCATTTCCAAGCAAAGTTCAAAAAACTTATCAAAATATTCAGGATCCAGTAAATTTCAAAATGCATGGAAAAAATTACCAAGTATGCCAAGAATCAGAAAAAAATATGGCCTTTAGTGAAAGATCTATCAAATCAGATCTATAAATGATGTGGGTGACAAAAAGACAGGAACATTAAGATATATATTCCATTGGATTATACATATTCCATATGCTGAAAAAGGTAAAGATTTAAACAGAAATATGGACATTTTTTTGACAGGCAGAGTTAGAGAGAGAGAGAGAGAGAGAGAGAGAGAGAGAGAGAGAAAGAAAGGTCTTCCTTCCGTTGGTTCACCCCCTAAATGGCCACTATGGCCGGCATGCTGCTCCAATCCAAAGCCAGGAGCCAGGTGCTTCCTCCTGGTCTCCCATGCGGGTGCAGGGCCCAAGCACTTGGGCCATCCTCCACTGCCTTCCCAGGCCACAGCAGAGACTGCGAACAAAACCAGCACCCCAACCGGGACTAGAACCCGCAGTGCCGGCCGACATGGACATTTAAAAACAAAAATCCACACTGAATTTCTGGAGATGCAAAATACAATGCCTGAAATTGGGAAGTACACTGAATAGGATTAATAACTAGATACTTTCCGAAGGGAAAAGAGAAAATATTTAATGAAATAATGGCATAATGAACTTCAAGTACAAGAAACTAGAAAGCTATACCAAGACACATTGCAATCAAATTGCTTAAAACCAGTGATAAAAATCTTTTTTAAAAAATGTCTGACATTAAAAGGTTAGAAATGGAAAACTGGAAGAAATTTGTTGTAAGGTAAAAAGAAATGGCATTATGCTAAATACAGAAGGATACTGCTAAGTTAAAGGTGTCAATTATAAAGCTTAAAGCAATCATTAAAAATAATTATATCTAATAAGCCAAAAAAGGGAGACACAAATACTTACTTTCTTGTACTTGAGAAAGAAAGAGAGAAAGGTCTTCCTTCTATTGGTTCACCCCCCCCCCACACACACACCAAATGGCCGCTATGGCCGGCACGCTATGCCAATCGGAAGCCAGGAGCCAGGTGCTGCCTCTTGGTCTCCCATGTGGGTGCAGGGCCCAAGCACTTGGGCCATCCTCCACTGCCTTCCTGGGCCACAGCAGAGAGGTGGACTGGAAGAGGAGCAACCGGGACAGAACCGGTGCCCCAACCCGGACTAGAACCTGGGGTGCCGGCACCGCAGGTGAAGGATTAGCCTAATGAGCTGCAGCGCTGGCCCTATATTCAAAATCTTAATAAGGGGAAAATATAATCTTTATTTTCTTCTCTCCAAGTATTATAATACGGGTCTAGTAAAAACTATTTGAACTGAACAGAAAAGACACTTTTTAGAACAAGATCATTCTTATAGAGTGACATAATTCTTAGGGCTGGCACTGTGGCAGATAATGCCTACAGTGCCAGCAGCCTATAGGGCCACTGGTTCATGTTCCAGCTACTCTACTTCCCATCCACCTCCCTACTAATGGCCTGGGAATGGTCCAAGGGTTTGGGCTCCTGCCACACATGTGGGTGATGCAGATGACGCTCTTGAGTTCAGCCTGGCCCAGTGCTGGCAGTCGTCTGGGCAGAGAACTAGCAGATGGAAGTTCTCTCTTTATCTTTCCTATCTCTCTCTGTAACTCTTTCAAAATAAACAAATAAATCTTTAAAAAAATTAATTTACCAAACAGTATGGATCTCTCAAATTATTATATAAGCTACTGGTTCTCTAGGGATGGTCTCCATATTCCATTTTCACAATAAAAGAGCAAACACCCTCGCTTGTATCCGCAGCAACTGCACTGGTGCTAAGAGAGTGCTTCACAATGACCTGCTGTCATAAAAATATTTCTTCTGGAAAGTTATTTATCATAAAATGCTCAGTTCTTACTGAATAAAATTTTTTTCATTTTTAATGTCTAAATACTGAAATACATAAAACTTATTTTTTAAATGTAAAGTGTATAAAGTATAGCTGAGATCAAAGGTTTGAGAATAATTTCCACATACAAGTGAATCAGATTGTAATGATCAAAGTGTGTAAATCTTAGAAAAACAGTGAGATTCTAAGTACTTAAAAACAAATCCTCCAAACCACACATGTTGGCGGGGGCAGGGAGGGGAGGGTGGGAAAGGGATACACACACAAAAACGCACAGGAAAATGTTTAAGTACCCCTCACAGGGGAAATTACTTACTTCCACAGGGGTAGATTCAGATATTTCTCGCAATATTACTATGCAACGATTTTGATTTGGCCTTACTTTTTCTCCCTTCTCATCCACCTGGACTAAAGGTAAAGCTAGAAAGAGAAGAAAAATCAAAGGTAAAACACAAATATTAGAACATGATAATCCAATGGAATGTATTACACTGTGACACTAAATGGGTTAAAGAAACTATATACAAAAAGCAAAGTAAAAAGCCCATAGAATAAAAAGTATATTAAAATACAGGGTTAATGGCTTTCTCCTTTCTACAAGACCTGAAAATAATTTTGTCTTGCAACTTTTTAGTTATAAATAGTTCGAAGACTCACACAAAATTCCTGAGTACCCTTCACCCAGCTCTCCCTAGAGTTATATGTGACAGCATTATTACATAAATGTGACACATTGCCAACCAAGGATGCCAAAGTTGGTGTAGTACTTCTATCTCATCAACAGGCCCAATTCAGATTCCACAAGTTTTTACATACACTGGTTTGTGTCTTGGTGTCATTTCTATGAAATTATGTTATGTGTAGATTCAAATCACAACCTGTTGTGATCACAATCAAGGATCAGAGGTGTCCATTAGCAAAGAGACACAATATACCAATATTAGGAATAAAAGTGGTTATTATCACTGCAGGTTTATCAGCATTAAAAGGATCATAAGGTAAATACCATGATAAATTTCACACCAAGAAACCTGACAACTTACATGAAACAGAAATGTTTTTTGCAAGGCACAAACTATTAAATATCACTCTAGAAGAAAGAAGTAATTGGAAAAGACCTGATTCTATGAAAGAAATGGAATTTGAAATTTTCCCACAAAGAAATTCAAGGCCCACACGGTTTCACTGGAGAATTCTAGCAAACGTTTAAGAAAAAAAATACCAATTCATTAGTACAAATATTTCAGAAAATTACAGAAGAGTGAATGCTTTCCAATCCAATTCATCGAGCCAGCAGATCTCTGATGTCCAAACTAACCAAACACATTACAGAAACAAATAACCTACAGACCAGTATCTATCATAGACACAGATGCAAAATGTTTTAATAAATGTTGGAAAACTGAATAATATATAAAAGTGGTAGTAAAACAGAGTGAAATCAGTAAGAAAAATCTGACTTCTCAACTAAAAATCAAGCAACTTAATTCACCATATTAATGATTTAAAAAAAGCAATCATCTCACAGCTGTAGGAAAAAAAGTACTTAGCAGGGCCAATGTGTGACAGAAGGTTAAGCCTCTGCCTGCAGCGTCAGCATCCCATATGGGTGCCAAGTACCAGCTGGTCTGCTTCCCATCCAGCTCCCTGCTAATGCTTCTGAGAAAGCAGCAGAACATGGCCCAAGTACATGTGGGAGTCCCAGAAGAAGCTCCTGGCTCTTGGCTTTAGCCTGTCCCAGCCCTGGCAATAGTAGCCATTTGGGAGAGTGAACCAGTGGATTGAAGATTCTCTCTCTTTTTTTTTTCTCTCTCTCTGCCTTTTAAATAAATGAATAAATCTTAAAAAAAAAAAAAAAAAAAGGAAAAACAGAAAAAGTATTTGGCAAATCTAATACTCACTCCTGATAAAAAATTTTCAGAAGTCTAGGAACAGAAGAGAGCTTCCTCAACCAGACAACTATCTCCTATGGAAAACTTACTGTCTCCTAATAATGTGATACTGAATACTTCTCCCCTCCACCCCCCAGTTAACCAACAAAGCAAAGCAATGTGCTGACTCCATTTCCATTCACCGTTGTATTATGGAGGTTCTAGTTAGTTCACTAATCTAAGAAACAGAAATTTAAGGCATACAGATAGGTTTAAAGGGTAAAACTTTTTATTCATAGACAATAAGCTTATTTATTAAAAATAAATAAATGAGAAGGTGGCACGGGCCTTGGCTGTTCCTCTTCAGATCCAGCTCTCTGCTTATGGCCTGGGAAGGCAGTGGAGGATGCCCCAAGTGTTTGGGCCCCTGCTACCATAAAGGAGACCCAGAAGAAGCTCCTGGCTCCTGGCTTTGGATTGGCCCAGCTCTTGCAGCCATTTGGGAAGTGAACCAGTGGATGAATGACCACTCTCTCTGTCTCTCCCTTTCTCTGTAATAAATAAATAAATAAACCTTTAAAAATAAATAATATAAATTACAATTTATTGAGTTTAGCTAGGTTTTAGTATACAATTAACATGTAAAAATGAGTTGCATTTCTATACAAAGGCAGTTCAAAAAGTTCATTGATGAGGCCAGTGATGTGGTGTAGTGGGTAAAGCTGCCGCCAGCAGTGCCAGCATCCCATATTGACGCCAGTTCAAGTCCTGACTGCTCCACTTCCAATCCAGCCCTCTGCTATGGCCTGGGAAAACAGCAGAAGATGGCTCAAGTCCTTGGGCCCCTGCACTCACATGGGAGACCCAGAAGAAGCTCCTGGCTCCTGAATTCGGATCAGCACAGCTCTGGCCATTGTGGCCATCTGGGGAATGAACCAGCAGATGGAAGACCTCTCTCTTTCTGTCTCTGCCTCTCTGTTAACTCTTTCAAATAAATAAATAAATCTAAAGAAAAAAGTTCACGGAAAATGGAATTTACACCAGTTTTATTTTGGTGTAAATAAAACTTAGAAGTACAAGCATAGTTTTTCCATAATACGCATTTTTCTTCAATTTTCTGAAGACTCCTCAAATACACTAAGCTGATAATTAAAACAGAAAATATTTACAGTAGCATTAAGGATATAAAACTAATTAGTTTTGGCTGGCGCCGTGGCTCAATCAGCTAATCCTCCGCCTTGTGGCGCCGGCACACCAGGTTCTAGTCCTGGTCGGGGCGCCGGATTCTGTCCGGTTGCCCCTCTTCCAGGCCAGTTCTCTGTTGTGGCCCGGGAGTGCAGTGGAGGATGGCCCAAGTCCTTGGGCCCTGCACCTGCATGGGAGACCAGGAAAAGCACCTGGCTCCTGGCTTCGGATCAGCGCGATGCGCCGGCCACGGTGACCATTGGAGGGTGAACCAACGGCAAAAGGAAGACCTTTCTCTCTGTCTCTCTCTCTCACTGTCCACTCTGCCTGTCAAAAATAAAAAAAAAAAAAAATTAATTAGTTTTAAATTAGATAAAAGATATGAAAGGTCTATATGCACAAAACTACAAACCACTGCTAAAGCTAAGACATAAAGAGATATTCTGTGTTCCTGGACTGAAATGTTCCATATTGGGTGAGAGGTCAATCCCCTTGAAGCAAAAATCAGTAAAAATGCAATAAAAATTCCAACAGGCCTTTTGGAAAAATTATGTGGAATCCAAAATTCATATAAAAATAAAAAGCATTTAGAAGAGCCAAACAAAGTTAGAGATTTTGCAACTACTTTAAGAATGATTATAAAGTTATGGTAATCAAGATATTGTAATATTATCATCAAAACTGACAAGTAAATCAGTGAATACATGGCCCAGAAGCAAACCCACATATACATGGGCAAATGATTGTGACACATGCACAAACATAATACAGTGAGTCTTTTCAACAAATGATGTTGGAATAATGGCATATTAGATCAGTGCCTCATACAAAGTACAAAAATTAACTAAACAAATCAGACCAAAATATGACATGTAAAACTACAAAAATTCTAGAGAAAAATCGTTGTAACTTTGGACTAATTAAAGATTTCTTAAGTATAATGTCAGAGCCAGCACTGTGGCATAGTGGGTAAAGCTACTGCCTATGATTCCGGCATCCCCTGTGGGCACAGATTCTTGTACCAGCTGTTCCACTTCCAATCCAGCTCCCTGCTAATGACTTGGGAAAAACAGCAGAAGATGGCCCAAGTTCTTGGGCCCCTACACCCATGTGGAAACCTGGAAGCAGCAGCTCCAGCTCCTAGCTTCAGCATGGCTCAGCCTCAGTGGCCATCCAGGGAATAAACAAGCAGATGGAAGTCACATATCTATCTCTCTCTCTCTTTCTCTCTCTCTCCCTCCCTCCCCCCTCCCTCCCCCCTTCTCTGTATAACTCTGCCTTTCAAACAAGTAAACAATTCTTCCAAAAAATGTATAATCTCAAAAGATCTATAAATAATAAATTAGACTCTATACAACTCTATTTCTGCTTTTTTGCTACAAAAACATACTTCTGCATTTAAAAAGACAAGCTACATCAGGGTTGGTGTTGTGGTGTACCAGGTAAAGCTGCTGCCTGTGACACTGGCATCCCACATGGGTGCAGGTTCGTGTACCAGCTGCTCCACTTCTGATACAGCTCCCTGCTAATGACTTGAGAGAAGCAGAAGATGGCTCAAGTGCTTGTACTTCTGCACCCACATGGGAGACTCAGATGAAATTCCTGGCTCCTGGCTTCTGTCTGTCCCAGCCCCAGCCATTGTGTCCATCCCATTATGCCCATCTAGGGAGTGAACCAGCAGATGGATGCTTGCTCATGTGCACCGTCTCTCCCTCTGTGTGTGTGTGTGTAAATCTGACTTTTAAAAAATAAATAAAAATCTTTTTAAAAGTTTTTTTTTTTAAAAAGATAAGCTATAGACTTGGAGAATATATTTGTAAATCACTTATCTGATAAGGACTAGAATCCACTACACACACACATTTATGTATACAAACACAAATCTTGGCCAAAGTGATCACAACGGGACATCCACACACACAACCCCCCACGACTCCAGACACAGACCTTATACTTTTTAAATTTTTATTTATTTATTTATTTTTTGACAGGCAGAGTGGACAGCGAGAGAGAGAGACAGAGAGAAGGGTCTTCTTTTTCCATTGGTTCACCCTCCAATGGCTGCTGCAGCTGGCGCACCGTGCTGATCCGAAGCCAGGAGCCAGGTGTTTCTCCTGGTCTCCCATGAGGGTGCAGGGCCCAAGCACTTGAGCCATCTTCTACTGCACTCCCGGGCCACAGCAGAGAGCTGGCCTGGAAGAGGGGCAACCGGACAGAATCCGACGCCCCGACCAGGACTAGAACCCGGGGTGCCGGCGCCACAGACGGAGGATTAGCTTATTGAGCCACGGCGCTGGCCCAGACCTTACTTATACTCTTAACAAAAATTTTTCCAAAATGGATCACAGACCTAAAACGTAAAAG